GCTGTTGCTGCTGATGCTGATGTTAATGCTTATGATAATGATCCTTATGAAAACGATGATGCTGCTGATGCTGCTGATGCTGCTGAAGCTGCTGATGCTGCTGATGCTGATGATGCCTTTGCTCATGATGCTGATGATGATGTTGTTGTTGATACTTATGATGATGCTGATGCTGATGCTGATGCTACTGACGCTGATGACGCTGATGCTGATGATGCTGATAATGCTGATGATGCTGATGATAATTTTGCTGATAATGCTGATGCTTTTGATGCTGATGATGCTGATGCTGATGCTGATAATGCTAATGATGATAATGCTGATGCTGAAGCTGATAATGATAAAGTTGATGCTGCTTATGCTGATGCTGATGCTGCTGTTGACACTGCAGATGGTGCTGACGTTGCTGACTCTTTTGACACTGCTGACGCTGTTTATACTCATGATGCTGATGATGCTGATGATGCTGATGATGATGATGCTGTTGACACTGTTGATGTTGATGATTGCGCTGATGCTGCTGCTGATGACGCCAATGATGCGGATGAAGACGCTGATGATGTTAATGACAACACTGATAATGCTGATGCTGATGATGCTGACGTTGCTGATGCTGATGCTTCTGATGCTGATGCTGATGCTGCTTAGACTGATGCTGATGCTGATGCTGATGCTGTTGATGCTGATGTTGACGCTGCTGACGCTGCTAACGTTGATGATGCTGATGACTCTGATGACGTTGCTGACGCTGATGACGCTGATGATGCTGATGATGCTGATGACGCTGATGATTTTGCTGACGCTGATGATGGTGCCAATGATGATGCTGATGATGCTGTTGATGCTGATGATGATGATGCTGATGATGACATTGATGATGCTGATGAAGATGCTGAGGATGATGCTGCTTACACTGATGCTGATGCTGATGCTAATGCTGCTAATGCTGATACTGATGCTGCTGATACTGATATTGCTAATGCTGCTAATGCTGAAGCTGATGATGCTGAGGATGCTGATGCTGCTGATGATGATGATGCTGATAATGGTGATGCTGCTGATGCTGATGCTGATGCTGTTGCTGACGTTGCTGACGCTGCTG